TGTCTCTGGTTTTGTCTCTTCTTGCTTCCTTAGCACAATCAGCTGATGAACCTCACTTCCATAACTATCTACCATAGTTTTTGAGCCCATTATGACCTAGTCAAGGTTATACTGGCAGCTTCACTTCTACCATCTAGTGGTAAGACTGTTTCAAATACCAAGTCATCCTCTAATGATATATAATGTGGGGAGGATGTCTAACAACTTGTTTACCTGCTTTCCATGAAGTTGTTGTAAGGTCCACCTTTGCTTGTCTGGAGTCCTTTACATATACCTCTTTAAAAAATAGAATAAATTGGGCTGGGGATGTGGCTCAAGTGGTAGCGCGCTCGACTGGCATGCGTGCGGCCCGGGTTCTATCCTCAGCACCACATACAAATGAAGATGTTGTGTCTGCCAATAACTAAACAATAAATATTTTTAAAAAAATTAAAATTAAAAAATTGAATAAATAAATAAGTGAAAAAGAGACAAATCTCTTGTGGAAAACAATTCCAAATAATTTGTGTAGGTATTCTACCTTTAGGAGATGGAATATAGCTTCCCACTCATTAAGTGTAGTCAGTACATGGTGACTTTTTCCCCTAGAGTATGGAAAAGGGGACAAAAAAGGAATTTTATAGTCAAGAAACACTATTGCATCTAGGTAGTCAAGGTCAATGACAAAAGTACTCAGTCAATAGAAGGGAAATTATCAAAAGAGTAGAGCAACCACATCAGGGAGGGAGAAAGGGAGAGAAAGGGAGGTACTGCAGAATGAGATTCATCAAATTATGTTATATGTATATATGAATATGCCATAATGAATACCACTCATGCATAATTATAATGTACCAATTAAAAAAAAGAATCCAAGACCCCAAAAGCATACCTTACTCTCAAGTATCTCCATTCTTTCTTCCTTTGTATATCCTGCTCTGTTGCTTGCTTTCCTGGATAAATCTTATCTTGCCTTCCTAAATTTAAAAAAAAAAAAAGAAGAAGAAGAAGAAAAGGATTATAAGTCACATGGGAAATACATACTTTTGATGTGATGTAAGGAACATGACCCTTCTGTGATCTTGTTTTCAAACACTATAGCCCTAATTTATAACGGGGGAAAAAATTTAACACATCCAAATGGAGGAGTTCTGGGGAAACTGGCCAAATTATATGGTTATGTTGTGTAGATGTATGAATGTGAATGCACCAATAAAAAATGTGGGGGAAGTACAAATGTAGGAACATTCTCTAAAATATCTGACCAATACTTTTCAAAACTATCAAGATCATAAAAACAAGGCAAGTCTGAGAAACTATCAAAACCAAGTGGTCTAAATGTGATGTGGTATTCTGGATGGGATTCTAGAACTGAAAAATCAGGACACAGGTAAAAAATAAGAAAATCTGAGGGTAGTATGAACTTTAGTTAATGTGTCAATGTTGGTTCTTTCATTATTACAAATGTAGCATAATGTAACATGAAGTAGTAGAGATAGAATACATGGAAATTGTACTGTCTTCAAAATTTCTTTAAACCTAAAACGTACGTTTATTTCTTTTAAAATAATATGAGAAAAACCAATGTTTATTGAACTTTTGCTTTATGCCAGATATGGTACTAAAAGGTTTATTTATTTATATTATCTCTTTGAATACTAAGGACAATAGGATTGAGATGTGAAGTTAAGTGGAATTCTTTAGACCAAATCTAGGAAACTGGGGAAGAATGTCAATCTATACTGTCTAATTGTTTTTTTTTATACTTATATGACAAGAGACGTCACACAAAAAAAGAATAATTATTTGACATTTTTTACAAAACTAACAATCATCAAGCAAGCAAGCCTAAGAGGAAGAATAAGAAGAAAATTCATATTACAACAAAGGATTTTTTTTTTGTTTTTTTTGTTTTGTTTGTGGTACTAGGGATTGAACCCAAGGCCTCATACATGTCAGGAAAGTGCTCTACCACTGAGCTATACCACCAGCCCTTTTATTTTATTTTGAGACAGGGTCTAAGTTGTCCAGGCTGGCATTGAACTTGGAATCCTCCTGCCTCAGCCTCCTGAGTAGCTGGGATTATAGGAGTTTATCACTGCACCTGGCAAAAATGAATGTACATCTAAAGCAGATTGAAGAATTGAAGTTTGAATCTGCCTTTTTTAAAGGCAGATGAAATTCAAGAAATGATGAGTCTTAATGAAGAGTGGAAGAAAGAATGCTTACATCTTTGACTTTTGTAATTCTTACAAGCAGGATGAAGTTGGTCAAGTATATGAAACATACACATTGGGTAGTACAACATATTCTCTAACCTATTTGGTTAAGTCAAATAGCTGTCAAGAAATTGTGAAGAAGTGGGTGTAGACTAAAGTGCTTGAGCATGATTGCTCATTTACTGTCTCCAACCCATTTTCTCTTTAGAACTGTATATCTCCTTGTCCCTGACCCAAAGCCAGGGAGGGACCTACTACACAACTCGTGCTAATTCCTTTTCCTAGAATATAGGCTTTGGACAGCAGGGAGCAAGTAGTTCATGTCCAGTATTCCAATCTGTCATTCATTTCACATTTCACATTTTTAATTTATAAATTTTTGTATATGGCCTTGCTTAAGTTATGACCTCTGCTGGGCAGTGCCTCAGTTCTGATGCCTTTTTTAATCTCTGTAAAGTTGACCCTTCGTAGGTTCTCACTGATTTCAACACTCAGTAATGCTACCTGTTAAATATATGTGTCTTGAAGATTGATGTTGACATTAAGTGGGATGGTATCTTCATTTTTAAAATTTCTTAGAATCTCTGTGATCTAATCTGAAGTGTTTTTAAACATTTGATTGAAAAAGTTGACTTAAGCTTGGAATCATACCTTAAGCACTGAATTTTTCTCCTACAAATACATGATTATACCTTTTATTCACCAATTTTTTGATGTAAGAAGAGGGCCATTTATCTAGTTGTGTTTACATAAAGGTTTGCATATGGTGTCACTGCTTGAAGGTCTACCTTCACTATTTTTGCATCAAACATAGGGTAATGTATAATCTATATAATGCCAGCCTTGGTTCACTTAAAGTAACAGACTTATTTTTAAATAAGATAGTAAAGATAGTGCTCTCCCCTTTTCTCTCCAGAATCACTCAAAAGCAACAAATACAATGAGAAATGGAAGCACAGACTCCCTTTTTGATAAAATCAAGAGGCATTTTGAATCTCAAACTATGTGTATTTCAAAGTACATTGGATATAAAAAAGGGATGTAGAAAGAGGCAAAGAGGAAATCCTAGGGTTGCAAATCTCAGACAAACCAAAAGAATACAGGTCTCCATAGTAGCATCCCCTGAAAAAGCAAAGTCAGCAATTCCTAATTGCAACAAAGGCAATCGAGGACAGTTCTTTCTAGTTTAGCACAGAGAAATGAGAATCTAAGGAATCACATTTGTAGAAAGCAGAATGGTAAAGATTAAGCGTTCAAGGGTGTCACTTTACAGCTAATCTGAGGATGATAGCAGAGAAGTAAAGTTTAAAGGCTATGGTTCAGACACACAATTTTTGTGAAATGAGAGTTTTTGCTGCCTTGAAATACAGGCCTGAATTCAGACCAATTCATTCTACTGTAGAAGCCTGGTCTAGAGGATACTCAATTTAATTCAAAGATGGGTGAGAGTTTTAAAAGGGCGAGGGGTACATAATCTTCTTAAGGTCTATACCAAGAGGGAGATCTTTTCTGGAAGGTTTTATGCGAAATGTGATGACACAGAGCTTTGCTCTTCACTGCTTCCCTTTTTATAGTTTTTAAATTCAAAATAGGTTCATGGAGAATATCATGCTAAGTAAAATTAGCCAAACTGGAAACTCAAAGCTCTCTCAAATGTGGAAGCCAGAGTAAAATAAAGAAAAGCAGGAGGGAAGGATAGAATAACATATAGAACCAATCAAATATAAATTAATAGAAGACCTAAAGGAAGTCTGATAAAGTAGAGGAAAGAGAATGGGAAAGTGTAGGGAGGGCAGGAGGGTAAGGGGGAGTGAACTGAAACCAATTATCATGCATGTATAGATATGTCTGGATGAACCCAACTACTGTGTATAACTGTGAAGCTCTTAATTAAAAAAAAAAATCTCTTAAAAAATAGGTTTTAGTGCAATAAGAAAAGGGACAGACTTTGGGGGAAAAAATTCATTTAGGTATTTGCCAGGAAATCTGACAAATCCTTTCAGAATTTTTACTCCTTTTATAGATCCAGTCTTTCATTTATTTTGACTTGTAATTTGACTGTAGTGTTTTTCTGTTGACTCCTTTGTGAAACCCTTCACAAAGTCGGTCAACTTACGAAAACATTTCCTTTTGCATTCATCTGTCATTGGTTATGCAATGTTTATTTATATTATTACAATAACATAATAGGCATAAAAAGATTATAAATGGTAACAATCGATTCAGTAAACATAAAGTTAAACTGGTGGGTGCAGAAACATGAGCATGGACTAGAAAGTGGCCTGTAAGAGTAGGAGGGGTCAGCATACTATGGGTATATCTTTTAGAAAAAAAAGGGTAAAGTAATGTTTATTGATGAATATGTTAAGAAATGAATATGTTAGAAAGAATTACTTGAAATATGACATTGTGTTGCTGTGTAGTCTTTAAATCTTTCTCTAGGATATAGTTGTAGTGTTTCTAACTTTAATTGTATTCAAAAAATATTCATTGAAACCTTATTTATATTATACTAGCAAGTAAAAGTAAATATTTAATTACTATGTATTGAATTAATATCAAAATAGTAGTGATTTTTTTATGATGCTGAATAACCTTTATCAGTGCAGACTTAAGTGAAAGAATTTAATTACATTAACTTGGTTCAATGTTATAGTGCTTCAGCAGTTACATTGACTTGCTAGAGGGAGCTCTTCAAAACACCTAAGGTTACTTTAAGTTAACATAATATTTATGTTTGATAAAGAAAAATTTTAACTGTGTTTGACTATTAATAAATTTATTATCATTTTTATCTTAAAGTTGCCAGAAAAAATTATAATGGACTACTATGAGAAGTATAAACCTAGAATGAATGAGCTGGAAGCATTCAATATGGTAAATATCTTATATTTAAACATATTAAATTGGATACGTTGCTAGACTTTGAATACCATTCTATTAAATTTTATTATGGAGCCAACCAATCTATGTTGTTTTTCTCATTCTGTAGAAAAACTGTTTTGGATCATTTCCTACTTCAGAACTATATTAGGTGTCAGTAATGTAATAAAGAGAGCACATGGTAGATTCCTCTTAAAGTGTATTATAAATGCATGGAAAGACGTTTTAGAGTCCTTTGAAGACATATTGGTCTCGATGCAGTTATTTCACAAGCATTCTTTTTAATGAATTTCATTCTTAGGACCCCTTTAAAAGTTTTCTCATATGATTGCTTGTTGGATTCTACCTCAAAGTCATTTGAAGGGCATTCTTTTCCATTATTAAAGAAAAACCTTTGATCTCTGCAGTATTTATTTTCTGAAGATGCACAATAAGTATTCGGAATTGGCCTATGTAAACTCTAGATGCTTTTTCTTAAACATAAATGTTAAGGAAATAGGATTTTTTTTTTAAGTACCACTTTCTTTTCTTATGCCTTCTTTTAGTTGAAAGTATTTCTGGCTCCTTGTATAGAAACATTGATTCTTCTGGATCGACTTTGCTACCTTAAGGAGCAGGTAAATTACATTACTTTTTAAATTATTAACAAATCTTTATTAAATGTAGTAATGCGAGTCCAGTAATAGTGAGGATAGTTATTTTACATAAAGCTAGTAAGGTAATTTTTTTCATTATATTTTTATAATTAAGATACTTATACCATCTTCTTGTCAGTTTATAAACATATGTACAACAGATGTCTTCACAAAAACTACTCTAATAAAGTATACATTCTTTTAATTGTATGGTAATTACGATACATAGGCGGTGAACACATGCTGTCATATATGACAGATTGTTTAGCCAAAATTAATAAAGGCCAGACATAAAAAATTTTGTGTACACATTTGATTTTGTAAGACTTTGCCTTTTAATTAATTCACTTTGGGATTTTTGAACATATCATGTGTTCTGCAGTATAGAAAATTCATTAATGAAGATTATTTATTTATTTTTTCCATAATCTTATTTCATCTATGTCGAATGACAAAATATTGTCTTTTAAGTTATCTTTAGGGAAAATATATTTTTCAGATCCCACCGAGTGCTTTGTTTAAATTATTGTGAACTATTTAAATTAAACTCATTCCAAGATTAGGCCTAATGCTTTCACTGTAAACCCTTTATTTTAAAACAATTTTTTTCTTCCTGCTGGAACAAATGGATTTTAATAAATGGGTCTTTACTCTAATTTATATTTTTATGCAAGAAGAACAGTTTTTAAGTATTTAAATAGTGATGTGCTTTCCTAAGTGGCCAGCTAACTTCAAATCACTGAAAAGCCTTGATTTGCAAGTTGTAGGTGACAGAACAATTAGTCCCTGCCAAAACAGGTACTAATTTCCTTTCAAAACAATTTCCATTGAACTAAGTACAATAGTTAGTCAAAACAATATGTACTGAGATTAGTTGAGATCAATAATAGCATAAATAATTTATGTTTACTATTTTAAATATTCTAAAAGTAATACATATTTATGTTACAAATCTAAAATGTATAAAAATATTTTTAAAAAAGTAAATTAAAAGTAATAATCCTACCTTTGAGCATTAACTATTAAGTATTTGGTATATTTCTATTTATGCTTATACTCAAATATATGAAATTTGTAGGTATATGTGTGTGCACATTATTTATACTTTAATTAAAATTGTAAAAAAAATACAAATGCAGTTTGTATGCAATTTGTTTCTTTTATGTAAAATTTTCCCACCTCATGGGCCATCTTGCACAGAGTGAATGTTTCATCATAAAATTATTTATTTACTATACATTTGATTAGGGCATTTTTTCATAGTCACAGCAATTAGGCCTTGTAATTCAGTATCTGTGTGTTACTTTATTTTGTCAGCATAATTCCTTGAAGGTGAAACTATAGATGTTAATTTTATTCAACAACGAATAGTGTTCTTTTATAGTTTGTTTTTTACGTGGGTTTTATTTTTTGGTTTTTTGTTTGTTTGGTTTTGGTACCAGAGATTGAACCCAGGGGCACTTAACCGTTGAGCTTTATCCCCAGCCCTTGTTGTTATTTGAGACTGGGTCTCGCTAAGTTGCTGAGGCTGGCTTTGAATTCTTGATCCTTCTGCCTCAGCTTCCTGAGAGGCTGGGATTACAGGAGTATGCCACCATGCCCAGCCATAATATTACAGTATGTAGTCTCTGTCACCTCTCCTTTTCTGTTCAAAAAATGGTTGTATATCTAAATCACTTATCAATTTGCAGGAAGATATTGCATGGTCTGCACTTGTGAAGTTGTTTGATCCTGTGAAATCTCCCAGATGTTATGCTGTTATTGCTCTGAAGAAGCAGCAATGATTTCAAATGAAGCAAGTTATTAGTTATACATGTTTGCAGAACTTGTTGATAACCTTGCTTTTCTAAACATTTATGTGTTATTATGTAAATATTTTAAAATAATTGCTATATTTTTACATAAACAATAAAATAAATAATGGCTAACAACAGAAAGTCATAATCTATTTTTCTATGAGAAAGCATATATAAATAAGAACTTGTGAAAATATTGTGAAAGAATCAATCTGATTCCTAAACTAGTATATCAATAGAACAGTGTGATTGAATGTTTGTTCCTGCTCAATGTTTGAGACCCTCCATATATACTATTATATTTTGACTGATATTTACTTAAAAAAAAGATGAAAGGTACTGGTTCAGATATAGTCAAATGTTGGGAATCATTTGCATTGTCCTCCACATTTTGGAAGGATTTTTCACATTACCGTAAAAGAAAAATCCATATTTCAAGAGAAGAAATACTCACAAACCATTCCATTTATAAAAAGTGCCTAGCATAAAGCACATTTTACACTCCATTTTAATCTGTTGCATAAGGTAATATTATGCTCCCTTAAAAGAGTGTGCATCTTGTGAGAATCACGTTAAGTACTCTTGAGGCTCTTTATCTTATTAAAATTAAGAATGGGTTGACATTTAAGGGAATTACCTTGTACGCTATAAAAAGCCAGTCTCAGTAAAGCAAGATTGAATGGAAGGCCAGCACCCTGCCCAGTATGGAACAATTTCCTTTCATTAGCAGAAAACTTGATCTAACAAAGGATATGGACAACTGAGACTCTTGATGCTCAGCTAGAGAGCATCTCGAATTCTTTAGAGTAGAAAAAGGAATTCTTAAATTTTGGAGTCTCTTCTCTGGATGAGAAGGATTATCGTTTTGCTTTGGATGGTAATATTATTGAGTTTGCAGCCAATATAAATATAAGTGATAAGGTATTGTGTACATCTACTATACTGGGGAAAAAAAGCCATTGTTTGGCATTTTATGTTCTGCAAAACATTTTGCCAATCTTATTCCATCTCTGCATATATAAATACACACACACACATACATACTCCACCCAAACCTACCCCTGCTGAAGAATCTTAAAGCAAATTCTAGACTGTTTGTTATTGTTATAAATACACTAGTATATATTTCTAGCAGCTAAGGATGTTTTTTCTGTAGTAATATCTGGTCAATCACATACCTGTGACTGGCTCAAGAAGTCTTTTTAAACATAATTCAGGTTATTGTTAGATGTTTGTTTTGGTCTTTTGGCAAAAATACTTCACAGATAATATATACTTTATATTATGTCACACCAGGAGGCACAGCATGTTTGACCCACCTTAAGTGATACCAAGGTGGATTGGCAGATTTCAGTTGTTGTGAGCCTGATTTATCTAGTATAAAGTTCCCTGTCTCCTCTTAATTCTTTTAGCAGCTAGTTGAAAACAGGAATGAAGGAGGGAGGATGGTAGGGAGAAAGAAAGAAAGGAAACATGGAAGGAAGGAAGTGACCACACACTATAAGTTCAGTTATCTATCATGCCAATTGGCTGAGAATCTTCTCCAGTTTCTATTTAACTACATATTTCACTATTCTGAGATAAATTGCTTGTTTGTTGCAGTGTACTGTTCTTTTATTTTCCTATACTGTTTTCTGTGTGAATAGCTGGCTATCCTAGAAGGAGCAGAAAACCTTTCTAGCCTATTTTCTTCCCTTTCATAATTTTATGTAAAATTTTACAATCTTTTCCTGATACTCAAATATTGATATAGCATCCATTTCTCTTAATAATAAAGACAAGGGCTTCTTGTTTAGTGTTTAGAAAACAGTGTTTAGAAAAGTAAGTTAAAGCTGTTTCATCAGCAAGGGAACTTTGTAGAAACTTCTCTATAAGTTAAAACATGGTCAGATGCTGGGCATGGTGGTACCCACCTGTAATCCCAGATACTTGGGAGGTTGAGGCAGGTAGATCGTAAGGATATCTTGTCTGTAGATAAATAAACAAGAGGAAGAGGAACTCATTAATATTACATGTTGAGTGTTCCTTATCGGAAATACTTAAGACAGGACATGATTTAAATTTTGGATGTTTAAGCTAGGGTTATGGCTCAGTGGTAGAATGCTTGCCTAGCATGTGTGAGGCCTTGGGTTCGATCCTCAGCACCACATAAAAATAAATTAATAAAAAAAAAAGATGTTGTGTCCAACTAGATAGATATATAGATAGATAAATAGATATAGATATAGATAGATAGATAGATATATAAATAAATTTTTGATGTTTTTCAGATTTTGGAATATTTGCATATACATAATGAGATATCTTAGAGAAGGGAACCAGGTCTAAACAGAAAGTCCGTTTATGGTGTATACATACCTTATTCACATTGCCTGAAGGTAACTTTTTCAATATTTTTAATAATAGGAAACAAAGTTACGTAGTCTGGAATTTTCCATGTCTGGCATCATATTGGTGCACAAAACATTTTGGTGTTTTGAAGCATTTCAGTTTTCAAATTTTAAATTAGGGATGCTTATGGAGTATCTGAATTTAGATTCATGCGGCCTAGAATATTTTGTATCATTAGATAAGTCACTTAACTCTTCAGGGTGCCTCAGTTTTCTCCTCTGTAAAAAAAAAAAAAAAAGGAATTTAGTCATAATTTTGGTTATATGATTTGTATGTTTTTGTTTCCTCCAAAATTCATGTATTGGAAATTTAATCCCCAGTGGAATGGCATTGGGAAGTAGAACCTTTTGAAAGAGGTTTAGCTCATGAGGGCCCCATGTCATATATGGGTTAGTGCTGCAATAAAGACTGGTCGCAGTAGGTTCACTCTTTCACCCGTCTAATTTTCACCATGGGAAGACACAATAAGAAGGCTCATACCAGATTCCATCACATTGATCTTGGACTTCCCAGCCTCCAGAGCTGTGAGAGAATACATTTATATTCTATATAAATTATCCAGTTTCTGGTATCATGTTATAGCAGCTCAAAACAAACTAAAAACAGGTATAGAGAACACTGCCTTAACAGTCTTGACAGTGTTTCTGAAGGGGGAAAATCGGGAGGAATTTATAGGAGTTGGATGTCTGGGCTCGAATGTAGAGAACAGACTAAGATTTGAACCGGTTGGTGACATAATTGTCTAGGATTAGTATATATAGCAACACAGGGGTCTTGAGATAAGTTTTGATAAATAAACTGTTGCTTGACTACTGAACTCTTTGCCAAGGTGAGAAAATTGTTTGTCTGAGATAAATTAATATATAGGAATTTCCTGAAACAAACAATGAAGTTATTTATTGGTATACAGTCTTATCTTTCCTAGGCAAATTGTTACCATAACAAACAAATAAATCATGTTGACACAGGGGTTTCAGCTCTAGGACCCGATAGCTCTGTCATGCTGATGCAGATGGTTGCAGTTCTCAATATAAACACTTAATTCTTGGAACATAATGCATAGTATTTAATAGTTGCATTTGTTAAATGACCTATCGAGATAGAAATGGGAACTTAGCCATATTTATAATACTGATTTTGTGGGGGAAAGTGTGTTCTAAATTCTAATCGAACAACTTACAAATGCATTTTCAGTGTACCCAGTTAAAATGAGTGAAATTATTCACATATAAAAGTGCATTTGGTTAGTGGTTGGAGAACATTACCTTACATAAAGTAGTTTTACAGTAATTTCATTTGCTGAGGTCATGTATTGTCTTCAGACTAATATTTATTTCTAGCATAATTTCTGCCTACTTCCTATTTATATCATTTCTGACTTAGTGATTGCTCTGTATCTATAGGTATAAATGCAGAGACTGATAGAAAAAGGTTTTTCCACATTACATGTATCTGAAGATTGTTCTTTGATTTGTGGTTCCAGATAATGCACATAACAATTATTTACTATTACTAATATGCATTATTGCCCCTTTTAACATGCATAGTTATTCCAGAGTCATCTTCATGAGGCATGAAATTCCATCCTTTACTAAATTGTTATGAGCTTAAATTGACTACTCTTTTTTCTTTTAGCTTTCTGCTATTCTGCATTCTTTGAAGTGTCTTTTCAAAACGTAAAACACATTTTGTATCGATTTCTCTAACTTTTTAGTTCATCATTCTAAAGCCACTGAAGAATATTGTTGTCATCAATTCTTTTGTTAATGTGTGTAACTGAAAGACATACATAGTAGATACAGGTGGACAAGCTTCTAATCTAAAACTTACTACTAGTAACCCTGCCTTAATAATTAGTCTCCCAGATGCCTAGAATGGATAGGAACACAGATGAGGCTCCTAGAATGTGTTCAGATGTAACATCTAAAAATGGACTCAACTACATATCTGCCACTCTGAAATCATGGTGGGTTACATCACCCAGAGTAAGGTTAAGCATATTTCTTTACCCAGCCCCTAATACAGTGCCTGCAATGTAAAATACTCACAGTGAGTACTTGCGAAATACATGTATCACCTACCTTAAATTACTTACCAAAATGTCTTATAGAAAGTAGTATTTGATGGATATCACCACTCTAGAAAGCATTGAGTTTTGTTTTTGTTAATGTTGTCCTAAGAAATTTTTATTTATTAAACCATTTGATCTTCTCAACAGTTCATAAAGTAGGTATGTCATTATCCTTATATAGATTAGAAATGGGCAGAAGCAAATCATCTCTGAAAAAAAAATCTCATTTTTCATCAGGCATTATTTCTACAGTTTTGCAAATAAATATCTAACACTCTAGCAAAAATAACCTGACTTATAGAGAGGTTAAGAAATATGAGAAACTGCAGAATAGAGTAGACCTGGGGCTTCCATATATTTCATTTATGAGACATAGTCAAGAAATGAAAGACTAAGAATTTCAGGAAAACTGGAAACTATAAAGAAGTATCAAATGGAAGAGCTAGAAGTTCAAAAATACCATTAATCAAAATTAAGAATTTAGTTCATTAGACAACTGAAAGGAAATTCAGAATTAAATATCCAGAAGGAAGCCCAGAGATAAAAGGATGGGGGGGGGGATCAGAAAACAGTATAAGACACATAGATAATACATTAAGAAAGTCTAACATACATATATTTGGGATCTTAGAAGGCAAGAATATAATGAGGCACTAATATTCAAAGAAATAATGACTAA